GACTCTGATTGGCTTTTGGATGCTATTCGGAACCCGGACAATGGAGCTGGCAGAGAGAGAGAGAGAGAGAGAGAGACAGAGATAGAGGCGGAGCCTGGGCTGTCCGTCAGCCCTTAGATGGAGAGTCAACAGCCCCCAGGTCTGGAGGTGGCTGATGAGGAAGAGGAGGAACAGCTGGGTCCAGTGCCTGCTACGTAGAAAGCAGAGGAGAGGAGAACAGTGGAAATCTATGGGCCGGTCCTCGGGACAGAAGAGCCACCACTGCTAGCAAAGCCCCACCCGAGCTCTGCGGATGAAAAGCAGGGGGCGGAGATGAATAAGTGTGGCAGACAACGATTCCTCTGCCCGCCAGACAGACTTGTTAGCCTGCGGTGGGAGATGGCCAGCTTCTAAGGCTAGTAAGAGCCAAAGCTATTCCAAAAACTGGTCAACCTTCTCCAGCCCCGCCCTACATCCTACCTGTCAGGGGACCGACGTTCCACGCAATGTTGTTGCACCATCCCGTGGCCTGTACCCAGTGCACCGTCCCGGCGTTGATCCACACCAGGTCTCCCGGACGCTGGATGAAGCGGTAGACGGGGATGTTGGACTGGTAGAGGTCTTCTAAGATGGGCCACCAGGAGCCGGTGAGATAATCCACCCCATGCCTACAAGAAAACCCAGGTTGAGGCCGTTGGGCAGAAGATACAAGCGTCCTGAAGACCACATCTTGAACTTCACATACTCCAAACCGTGGCCCATGCTCGGGACCTCCAGTGAGATGGTTCCTCTCCACTTGCTGCTCCTTCAACTGTCCTCAGAAGGTTCTTCCCTTGGCCAAGTTCCCCCTTGCCCCACGTCTGAGGAGATCCCTCCTGGAGATCCCCAAAGAAGTCCTACCTGTCACAGAAGGCACTGATGTTCTGCCAGTAATGTTCGTGGACAGCAAACCACTCGCAGTCCCCGGGTCCAATGTTGATGTTCACGGAGCAGAAGTTGTTGTTCTCCTGGTGACCTACAGAGGAGCCACGGGAGAAGAAGTCAGAAGCTCAGCTCAGGTCAACTGGCCTCCATCCCAAGTCGAGACTCTTCAAGGCACCAAGAGATCCTCGGAAGATCTCATCCAGGGGTCTCCAAACTTGGCCAACTTTTAAGACTTGTGGACGCCAACTCCCAGAATTCCTCAGCCAGGAATGAGGAATGCTGGGAGTTGGGAGTCCACAAGTCTTAAAAGGGGCCAAATTTGGAGACCTTTCTTCTGGTTCTTAGCCACAAACAAGGATGTCCAGTTTCAGATTTACCCAGCATCCCTCCTGTCCATCAACCTGTTCCCATAAGCAGGACCTAAGAGTCTTTCTCTGCCTCCCTCCATAGGTGGGATTCAAAGGTAGAGTGTTCTGAGATCTGGAGGTTCCACCTCCATGTTCTGTTTTGTTCTCCTAGCTAGGGGTCACATACCTTGAACACTCAAAAAGCCACAAAGGTCCTAATCGGAAGCCCCCCATTCAATTCTGGAGCCCACCAGGAAGTCCATTTCCCCCACCATAGAGTCTCCTCCTAGCATGGCATCATTTTTCTTCTGCTGACGGGAAGTCTGGTTCCCCCCACCATAGAGTCTCCTCCTAGCGCGGCGTCCTTTTCCCTCTACCTGTCCTAACCGAAAGCCTTATCAATTGTGGAGCCGACCGGCAATAGGGAGCCACAGCAGAGGGATGAAAGAGCCACATGCGGCTCCGGAGCCATCGGTTGCCGACTCCTAGCGGGAAAAAGGGCCCAATCCATTCATGCTCAGACCAGGCGGTTCTCACCTGGAGTACGGCTGCCAGGGACCTTCATGTAGAGTTGCACCGTGTTCATGCCCAGAATGGTATGGCCCACATGGCTCAACATGTTTCCCGTCGACGTAACTCGCATAAAGGCAGGCAGCTTCAGCAATTCCTGGAGCTGCGGCTTCCATCTGTCCAAAAAACCAAGTCAGCCATGCTCAGAAGGGACTGGGAGATGAACTAGTCTGACCTCCCTTCGGTATAGAAATCCTCTAGGATTGCTCCTCGAAGTTACGACCGTAAGGGAGCTTTGCGCCAACAGTAGTTCAGGTAGTCCTCGATTTACGTCCACAGCCGAACTCAAAATTTCGGTGGCTATGTGAGACGTCTGCTAAGGGAGTCTTGCCCCATTTTGCCACCTTCCTTGCCACGGTCGTTAAGCGAATTGCAGCAGTTGTTACGTTAGTCACACGGTCGTTAAGCGAACCAGGCTTCCCCATTGACTTTGCTTGTCGGGAGGTTGCAAATGGGGATCATGTGACACACACACACACACACACACACGGGACATTGTGACCGTCATAAATACGAGTCCCTCTCCAAGCGTTTTGATCGCGTGGCCACGGAGGGGTTGCAACGGTCGTAAGTGTGAAAAAGTGTAAACAAACTGTTGAAAGTCGAAGATTGCCTGTAAATTACCTGTGATTTTACGACGCTGTTTGCAGCCATTGTTAAGCCAGCGTGGTGACTCTAAGGGCAACTTTCCCCCACAGGTGTTAAGCAAATGTGACGGTCGTTAAATGAACCCACTGTACGCTATTGCGTGTCTTTGCTGAAAACTGGAAGGACTGTAATTGTCACTGGTTTGCCAAGTGTCAGTCCCACCACCGTCGGAAGTTCACATCCAGTCCTTTTTTCCAGGCGGGTTGCAACTTTGGACAGCCACTAAGTGACTCGTCATAAGTCGAGGACTATTTGTACTACTGAAAATGGGGCTTGGATTTCTGAGAACGTCGCTGTCCCTGTTAGCCAGGAATTATGGAGTTGAAGAGGTCTTAAAAGGGGCCGTAATTGCCCATTTTCTCTCCTTTTTAAGTCTTTTAAACTGCACTGATGAGTTCTGGCCACTAGGAGGCAGCCTACCCCCCGGAAGCACTTTCTTTCTGGAATTCTCATGCATCGCCAGCAGGCGGCAACAGCGAGCCACAACAACAGAGCTCTGCCACAGGATTGGGAGAGGGATGGCTGGTCCCCCAGTTCCCTGAGCGGCCACTAGGGGGCCGCAAAGATCTGGGACGAAGCCCGCTCTAGGAAACGAACCCGTTTTGCCTGCAGTGATAGGTCTCAACCCGAAGGGGGCAGCCCAAGCAAGCAGATTCTAGGCCCCCAATTCTCCGCTGCGGCTTTGCAAACGCCCACGGCAGGAAATGGAAAATCGGGGAGGGGGGTGGGAGGAAAGAGAGGGGTGGGGAGAAAAGGGGCCCACGGAGCTCCCTGCTCCCTCCCTCAATCCTCACCGCTTGGCATCCGAGAGGTCGATGTTGGTCCCAAACTTGATTATTTGGTGCGGCTTCTGATCCGGGTTGCTGCTAACGGAAAGGGAAAATTACGGACGGGAAGCCGTGATGACCCGTTTCCTCCCAGATGGAGAACGCATTAATGCCCCAATTCTGCCCCCCCCCTCAGCAAAGAGGACAATGTGAGCCCCCCAGCCAGCATCCTGTGTATCTCTGGACCTGACATGACCTCCCTCCCTCGTTCCTCCCTTCCTCTCTTTTATTCGCCGTTATGCGCCGTTTCTCGAAAAAAAACCTCCCGAATCCAAACAATAAGGGTAGTCCTTGACTTATGACCACAATAGAACCTAATGTTTCCCCGAGACCGTCGTTAAAGGGAATTTGGATCCCTTTGAAAGACGGAGGCGAAGTTAATCACCGCATTCTTCAGCGTTAAGTGAATTGGGCTTCCTCGCTTGTCAGAAGGTCGCCGCAAAGGGAAGCCAGGAGACCGCGATCGTCATAAAGACGAGTCGGTTGCCAAATGGGCTTCATTTTGATGACGTGGCCGTGGGGATGGGGGGAGGGGTGACAAAGGATCATGTCACATTTTTTTCGGTGCTGTGGTAACTTTGAATGGTCACTAAATGAATGGTCGTAAGTCGAGGACAACCCGTAATGGATCAAAAGAAACGCTGATGATGCTACCTAGTTGGGTGAGGAGATGTCTGCAAGAAAACAACCAAGTCCAGAGACCAACAAGGACCCCACAGTCCTCCTCCTCTTCCCGCTTGCAAATCTCTCTCCCTTCTAGCACTCAGGGAGCACTAAGAACGTCTCATTTCAACTCTGAGGTAAAATTATTCTCCTCTATCAAAAATCACTTGACGAGCAGTCAGAGGCAGGGGTACTCTACCTGGGCGGCGTCTCTGTGGTGCTGTCCGGCTCCTCGGTCTCCTCATCGTCGGTCTCTTTGTCCTCCTGCCTCAACAGAGAGAGAAGTCAAAATGGAGACCTTCCCGCCGAGAGTTAAGCGAGGGCCTTTGGCGTGCGACCCTCGCGAGGCACGGAATCCATCAGGTCTGGTCCACGCAAGGGACGGGACAAGACGGACGGACCAAGGTTGGCAATCTCACCTGAAGCGACTCCTGGAACGAGGCTGCTTGGTACTGGGCATACTTGGCGATGGTAGTGTGCGAACGGCTGCTCTCGCACGGCCAAACTTGCTTGGTGCCTGAGAGGTCCCAGTTCTCGTCGGACGGCTGCTGCACTTGTGTGCGGACTTCCACGGCGTGCTCGCCGCTCGCCTCCACCAGCGTCTTTGTGCTGAACAGCCCCAGATCTGCGGGCAAGTGGAAGCAGTCAAGGAACAGGACACTGGAGAACCTCACGATACACACACACCCCAAATTGTGAGAAAGGTGTGTTGCGAGTTCCCCTTGCCCCGACTCCGTCTTTTGTCAACTCGCAAAGCATTCCTGGCCTGCTCTCGATTGGGCCCTAAATTACGTGGAGTCGGAGCAAATTTGGGTACATGCCGACATGTTGTTCCTAATAAATGATTGGATTTCTTTTGAAGCTTGGCTCGAGGCTCATGATTTAATTAGGGCATCCGAGCCGAAGTACTCGCAAAACAACAGAACACAACAATAGCAATAATAGCATTAAAAATCATAATATTAATAACAATAAAGCTACCAATCCAAGCTACTGCTTCTTCATCTTCTGTCTCTACAAAAAAGCTGAACAAACAGTGGACCACCCACAAATCAGGGTCAGCTTCATGGCAACCTCAGAGCTCTGCGGGGGAAGAGGGAATGGAACTGGCGGGGAGAGAGATAGGCGGAGCCTGGGCTGTCCGTCAGCCCTTAGATGGAGAGTCAACAGCCCCCAGGTCTGGAGGTGGCTAATGAGGAAGAGGAGGAACAGTTTATTAGGAACAACATGTCGNTCTATCTATCTATCTATCTATCTATCTATCTATCTATCTATCTATCTATCTATCTATCTATCTATGATTTGCTACATTCCAATTATATTATTAAACAAAGAGAAGATATTTTTTACATTTTATGACTCATCAAAATGTGACAGTTTAATGTTCCTTCTAGACAATTATATGAAAGTTCACATAGGTTGTGACACAACATATGCACACAATTTTTTTTCCTTTTTTTAATAAAAAGAAATAACTGTTCTGTGTTAAAAAAAATAACATTTGGGGCGGGGGTTGCTTAAATGACAATTGTTGGCTATCTATCAGATCCTAGCTTTAATCTCACAGTAGGCTCGTATTTCTGATTGTGTTCCTCTGAAGCTTATATGAATAGAAGAAACCAAACTGTGGTCTTCAACTAAAAATGGAGAGTGAGTATATTTGTAGGGGAATATAGGGGTGTGATATAGCATTAAGATCCACTGCTGTTCCTTACAAGTTGCAAAGAGAGGACTAATTTGCTGCATGTTTTGCCTACTTTGCTACTAATAAAGTATTTTGCATGCTTTCTATAAACACTCCTCTTAAGTTTTATAATCTAGTACATCTTAGTAAGCATGAAGTCTGCCGATCCCTAAATTATTCATAACATGGTCCAGACTGATTAAGATTGGCTTGTTAAGGACCACAAGAAGCAATTAAACTGACAAGGCAGTGCAGCCTTGATGTATACATTTATTATCACAAGAATACCCAAAGTGAATGCCCTTATTAAGCAATGAATTTCACCTCACTGGCCTTCTACCACTGCTGCCACAAGCAGAGGGAGCTAGGAACAACATGTCAAAAGCTAACTCTGAGGAAATGCCTATCTTCAAGTGAAACCGATTTTGTAATGAACCTTTCAGTTCACTCCTGAGGTAATAAATCCTGACTGGTGCATTAATTACTTGATAACATCCCATCAAAATGCAAATGCAGCACTTGACCCACAGGAATGGCAGCACTAGCTGTTAACTCTTCAGGGTATACATAAATTGTCTGTTTTCTTTTATCAAACTGGGCATTTATTTCCATCTTGCTGGGGTGAATGTCACTCTTGCCACCCTCAGCCCCTTGGTGGCCTGACACCATTATTTGCTGAGAATTGTCACTAGGTGATGACTTTCTAATTGTGCTACTACTTCGAAGCAGAAATTTCTACTGCATGTTTTCTCCTCCCCCTTTTAACTCCCACCCATCAGGAATTTCACAAGCCAAGGACAAAGCAGAGACAAAGTATGATCTCCTCACATCTAAAGTGCACTAGTTTTCACTATCAAAGGCAGCACATTGAACAATGAACTTCATCCTTTGAAACAATTAAATAAAAGCCGAACAAATGCAAACTACTAACATACTATATGCAGCAAAAATGTTTCCCTGCAATACTCCCCCCCTCCATGGTATAATAACTTATTGCCTTGTAAATAAGGCAATACTGACTACTCAGTCAGTATTTTCTATTGTTGGCAGTCACAAAAAAAATATCAAACAAATACAAAAAAAGCATAGCTTATATAACAACTGAACATTTAAAGATGTTGTTGTTACTTTATCCTATAAAATGAGCTTGTTTTATTTAGGGAACACATCCACAATAAATGTTAATAAGGATTTTTGTTTCATATTCCATTATTCAACACTCAGATCAGCATCAATGGGGTTTAACTCACCCTCCCTGAAACACACACACACATGTACACACCATGGGTCAACCTATATTACAGTATTTTATTTCTCTGGAAGGCTTGGTGAAAAACCTTAATTCAGGTTACTAGGCAACCCTGCAGGTGAGAAAATATAATGTTTGGCCTACTCCATCTTAGGAAAAAAATGTAGCAGCCTAATGCTTTCAAAATATACACTGGAAAACATGCACTGATAATTCTTTGCTACATTTTCCAAAGTTGAGGTCAAGCAAAAATTAATTGATGTTGAAAATAATGACAGAAGGAGAAGTACCACTGAGACTTGGTGTGACTGGCATGTGATAATGTTAGCAAGATTCCCAGCATGTGACTGGATGATGTTGTGAAAAATATACTTTATGTGAAGGAAAAACAAGTTACAAAATGTAATTAGTTTTTGACACTTTTCATATGTTATTATCTTTTCATTTGGAACATTGCCTTGGGATATCAATACAAAAGTATAAATGAAACATTATTACTGTTGTAGGTCTAAAATAGAGAATGAGATAGCTTTATACTGCACATCTTTTTCATGTCCTTCTGAATAAACAAAATGCTCTATGCAAGCGAAAGTACTGTATGCAAGCCACAGAAAACATATTTACTACAAAGAGAGCAGAAATTTCTTCAATATAATAATCCTGTTATATGTGATTATATAATTTTACTCTCAAAATAAGGAGCTCTGAAAATAAGTGGTCTAAAATGCTAGAGGTTAATATGCAATTAAAGTATAGCAGCCACAGCAATAGGTTTTTCATATTGCAAATGTATTTTTAATTTTTTTCCATTGACGTTTATACCTAGAAGTAATTCATGCTGATTACTAAATACCCCTTGTGAGTTCCTTTGTCTTCTCAATTAAAAAGAACAAAAAAAAACCACTTGCCGTTAGCAATGCATTTCATAAACCACCAGCTCTCATGCTTGATGAATCATTCTTATTTTATGCAGTGCTGCATGATAGAGAACTGAGATAAATAAAATATTCTATCCACAAGCTATTCAGTACAATTTATCTTCAGCAGCTTACTAGTCCATTGATAATACCTGGCTTGAAGATTGCAATGATCAGATTCGGTTTTCATTTGAATCAGGAGCAATCTGAGCACTATAGTTTTTAATTTACATATATTAGTGAGGTTCAAATGTGGCAATAGCTACCAGCAAGTTCTCTTGCAGACTGAATGCTCACCTTCTATAATGGTTTCCCTTTAGCAATTATGCACCAATAAAGTAACCAGATAAAAATGAAAACAAAGAAGGCAGAAAAGGAAAATCATGCTAAAAATGTCATCATTTAGATTAGGATAATTATCACAACAGAGAGAAGGTCATGTTTATATTAGTGATTTCTTGTAAGACTTCCCTGTATTGAATTCCTAATGCTACCCTTCTCTCTTTGCTTCTGCATTGTTTCCTTTCCTCAGCTTACTGGAGTTATGATACAGAATGCCTTAAGATATGTGAAACAGCATAGTAACCCAGATATTATGTTGACTTCACCTTGAAAAAAATGAAATTTAGAAGCATCTGGTAAACACAACATCATTATCAAAACATTATTATACTACCCTGAACATTTAGCAAAACCAACAAGCTTATAATAAATACCTCTTACAGTTACATCCCTTTTATTCTGACCACAATATTGAGCCTGAATTCCCAGCAGCATCATTACTAGACATTTTCTGCCACCTTTCTAAATCTGAAAAGCTTCCTACATTTAGTGAAGATTAGGTAATGCTACAAGTAATCAATAATCGCTATCAATTGTATACCTTGTTCAGAAGAACCAGCTGATTAAACTAAGTTAAAAGCAAAGTTGAATATAATTTAAACCTAGATGCTTTCCGAAATTGTATTATAATAAATATAATTTTTACATATGCATGCACTTGGCCAGATGCACATACAGAATGAATCACCTAAAATGAGAAAAATGCTTAGCTAAGGAATGACATTCTTTTCTTGAATCTTAGATAGATCAGAGATAGAGGAAGAAGTCTCAAATAATGAATAATATATGTCAGTCCAACTGTGATTCTTTTTCAAGTATTTCATTTTACTCTTCCTGGTAGTTGTTAAATATATTTAAATATATTTCTACAGCTTTTAAGGAAAAGAGGAAAAGATCTATTAACTAGAGTAGACAACTTGATATTTCTACTTGCAAATATTTCAACAAGAAGAATCTAAAATGGCTTCTTCCTATATACATTATAATAACATCAAATAAGCATAATATAACAATAAACGACATTTAACAATAATAAATAATTGAATACTAATTCAGAGGATTTGAAAGCAATATCTCAAGAAGTGTGTCCATTAGTCCATTCATTTTGCTGAGATAAAAGTTAAGCTATGATTTATCCCACTAATATTATATAAATTAATCTTGGCAATCATATCCCTTAACTTTTCTTCCACATAGCTACAAGGGTTTATTAACCACTTTTGCTTTTATTCTGAATTAACCAAATCTGTTCTTGTGTAATTACAATATTAATTTTACTAGTTTAGTTTAGTTTAGTTTAATAAGATGTGTATGCCGCCCACTCCCTTGGGACTCTGGGCCCCTTACAGGCAGGGTAAAAAGAAACATTTAAAAAATTAAAAATAAAAGATACAATTATTAAAATTCCACGTCTAAGTGGGGCTGGATATTAA